GCGCGTACACACACACACACACACACACACACACACACACACACACACACACACACACACACACACAACCTAATCACCCTCAACCCCTTCGTCCAGCTGCCCTAACACTCACACAGTGCTACACTCACAGTGTCAATCCTACTCTGGGAGGAACTGCTCCGAGTCAGCTTGGCCTTCATCCTCTATTCGCGGCTTTGTTGGCTTGGAGCCTGTATCGCCTTTCTTCTTGATTCCACTCACAATATCATCAATCCTGAGCAACATACATGATGCCTCGATTGCGGTCTTCATCGTCTGCACTTTGACCGCATACGGCTCCCACACCCCCAGCTGTTTCATGTCTGTGATAAGGCCGGTGTTCCCATTGATTCCGACGGTCGGATTTTCCCCGTTGGCATGCTTGGCCTGAAGAGAAGTTAGTGTTCGGATAACATTCACCCCACAATTCTGAGCCAGAGTTCTGGGGATTACCTCCATTGCTTGTCCAACTGCCCTGTATGGCCATTGCTCCATCCCTTCGATGGACGCCGACTTCTCCTTCAGAGCGGCAGAGACCGTCATTTCGACAGCACCGCCGCCTGGGAGAAGCCTAGGGTCCCACACCACGTTCCTCGCCACACCCATAGCATCCTGAAGATTCCTCTCCACTTCGTTAAGCACGTCCTTGCTGGCTCCGCGTAGCAGAATCGTGCACGCTTTAGGACTTTTGCAGTCGGCGATAAATGCGAAGAACTCGTCTCCGAGCTTCTTCACCTCGAAAAGTCCAGCTCCTGTTCCGATATTCGCCTCCTGCAACTCCTCCGGGCGATTCACGATCGTTGCTCCGCAAGCGCGTGCGATTCGGTTGTTGTCCGTTTTCCGCACGCGGCGAATCGCGCTGATTCCCGCCTTACTTAAGAAATGCGCCGCCAGATCACTCAGTCCCTTTTCGGTAATGACGAGGTCGGGCTTGAACTTGGCGATCGTGGAACACATCTTCTCGATCGCCTCTTCTTCCATCTTCAAGAGGAGACCCCAGTCTTCTTCCTTTGTTATCTCTACGTTCGTCATGTTCTCTCCCTTCTTGTACTCTAGCGGACAATCAAGCAAGATGATCCTCGGGTTGGCGATTCTTCTCCGCATCTTCCCGGGAGTGACAACGTCCTTGTTGATCATCACGCCGCGTAGGACTCGGCAATCTTCAATCTGCCCACCTGGGACCTTCTCCACCTTCGCAAAGTTCTTAATATCGATCTCTTTCTTGCCATCGCCCTGATCTACGGCCACTGTATTGACAGCATCAAGCGCCAGCTCGGCCATCAAGGTCCCGTAACGATTTGTAAACTTCGTTCCTATACAGCTCTGCACGATATTCAACATCTGCTCCCTGTCGTTCGGATCGGTCGGGAAGCTGATCCGATCGATGGTGGCAATCGCATCATCCAACGCTTTCATGTACGCCCTGCAAATGACCGTCGGATGGAAATTTCGCTCAAGGAACGGCTCCGCGAGATGCAACATTTCTCCCGCCAAAATTATCACTGATGTGGTCCCATCGCCAACTTCACGGTCTTGATTCCTGCTTAACTCGATCATAGATTTTGCCGCCGGATGCGCGACATCCACTTCCCTCAAAATCGCATTGCCATCATTTGTCAATACGATCCCCCCAGTTGCATCCAGGATCATCTTGAGCATTGACCGAGGGCCGAGAGTGGTTCTAATTATGTCCGCCACAGCCCTGGACGCCTGAATGTTGGCCAGTTGCGCTTTGCGGCCAGACTCTCGCTTTGTGTTTTCATTGAGAACAAGCACCGGCGCATGCATTGTGACTGACGAAATTGTACGCTCGCCAAGAGGTTGCACAGAATAAACTCTTTAAGCACCAGATGCGTCAGCAGGCAGAACTCCCAATCAACAGGCAAACACCTGAAATCCACAAGCATCCAGACCAGCTCACTGGTTCAGCAAGTCAGCCTACACAACAAGAGAGGAACAAACAGATACTCCAGTGCATCCCGGCATCTTTTATGAGCGGCCGATTTCCCATTGCGCGCCAAGCTTTGCTGAAACACCAAAGCGGCGTTTTCGGTTTTGTTTGGACTGGCGAAGCCAGCCCATATCGGTCCGGTTGCCCTGAGCCTCCAATTTTTTTGGAGAGGCTCAATCCTGGTTCTCAAGTTGGCTGGGGTCATGTACTTGTGGTTTAAGCAGCCATATTTAAAAAAAAAAAACAAGCACACAGGGAGAGGAAAATGTAGAGCGACAGAGCTGAACAACCTTGTGAGCGGGGTTTGGAAAAGACCCTGAGTGGCCCAGAGATGTGTGTGTGAGAGAGAGAGAGAGAGACAGACAGACACACAGACACACAGACACACACAGAGAGAGAGAGAGAGAGAGAGAGAGAGAGAGAGAGAGAGAGAGAGAGAGAGAGAGANAGAGAGAGAGAGAGAGAGAGAGAGAGAGAGAGAGAGAGAGAGAGAGAGAGAGAGAAGTGGAAACACAACAACAGGCATACAAGGCAAGGGAGGAGATCAAGGGACATGGGCGGCAGTGCATAAGAAACTTTCTGCAGGTGACAGATGGGCAAAAAAGGAGCTGTAGCAAGAGATGGTCCTGGCATTGACAAAGGAAGCAAGAGGTGAAACAGGTAAAGAGGGACGCTGGCAAAGGAGTCCCATCGATTGCTCCGAGGAGAGGAGGAACCTTATACAAGGAATGAATGACATCTGCATTGAAAGAGGGGTGCGACGCGGTCGATGGGTAGGGTAGGGGCAGAGGACAAGCATGGCCCTTTGACCGATAGGTTGTGTTCACTGCTGAGACAAGGGAGGAGGAGGAGGAGGAGGATATCCAGTGCGCAATCCCATGCGTTCAAGTGCAGTAAGAGAAGAGAGATAGACATACACATCAAACGGAAGGCTTTGGCAACAAACAGGAAGTCACAGGCGTATAAGAGGAAGAGGAAAGCAAAGATGGAGGAGGAGGTGGAGAAGGAGGTGAAGATGGAGAAGGAGGTGAAGATGGAGAAGGAGGTGAAGATGGAGAAGGAGAAGGAGGTGGAAATGGAGAAGGAGGTGGAGATGGAGGAGGGGATGGAGAAGGAGAAGAAGGATATGGAGAAGAAGGAGATGGAGATGGAGAAGAAGGAGATGGAGATGGAGAAGAAGGAAATGGAGAAGAAGGAGATGGAGATGGAGATGGAGAAGAAGGAGATGGAGAAGAAGGAGATGGAGAAGAAGGAGATGGAGATGGAGAAGAATATGAAGAAGTGTCGAAGAAGGAGATGGAAAGGGAGGAGGTGGTGGTGGGGGAGGTGGAGAAGAAGGAAATAGAGAAGGAGATGGAGAAGGAGATGGATCAGGAGATGGAGAAGAAGGGTATGGAGGAGAAGGATATGGAGACGAAGGAAGTGAAGAAGAAGGAGAAGGAGATGGAGAAGGAGATGGAGAAGAAGGGTATGGAGGAGGAGGTGGAGAAGGAGGAGGTGGAGATGAAAAAATGTAATCCCATGCGTTCAAGCACGGAAATAGAAGAAATGGATGCAGACCAACCAGAAAGGTATTGTGACAAACCGGACGCCACCGGGGTGTAGAGAAGAGAGGGGGAAGAGGAAAGCCAAAGATGGTGTGGATGGAAAGTACGAGGGTCGAGAGGTCTGCAAGGGGGGTGAAGTAGAACATTGGCAACGAGGGGAGTTTCACAGTGAAGGAGTTGAAAGACTATGCAGAGGCCAGGGAGGAGCAGGGCAGAGGAGGAGAGGAGAGGAGAGGATGATGGAGAAGAGAGAGGCAGAGGGAAAATCCGACATGAAGAAACAAGGGGGGTCGAAACAGACAAGACAAGTAGCACAAGGAGGTTAGCATCAGGTGGAGATGAGAATGACGGAGGGGCCGGACACGGTTTCAGAGTGATAGCTAGACGAACCGTGGGATGTTGGGAGATGAGAAAGGCGGGGAGGAGAAGAGAGTCACTCCCGCATTCAGATGCGGCGAAGGGAATGTTGGGCGCCACGCCCTGGTTATGCTCTGCTGCAGAGCATTGAGCAATCGCACAGAAGGTTTCTTCTTTTTTTTGCATGAATCTGCCCGTAATCAGGGTCTGGTTGATCTAGGAAAACCCTGAACTCTAATGTATGCGCTAACTTCGTGCTCAGAGGCAGCACTGTTTTTGCTTGCAGAGACCTCTCCTTTCCTCTCTAGGGTGAGGGAAAGCGGGACATCCTCTCTCTCTCTCTCTCTCTCTCTCTCTCTCTGTTACATCTTCGACGCACACGGGTCCTACCGGACCCGACTTAGGGCCGGAGGGACACATCAGGGCCTAAAGGCCTGACCTTGGGTTATTACAGGCCCTCAGGGCCTGATCTTGGACCAGTACCCGACGGGCAGGCCCAAACGGCATTATCGTTTGGGCCTGGYGGCGCTCTTGAGGCTGCCGCCCGCCGGTTGGGRCTGAACCGTCCATCTGGACGGTTCAGGGCATGGCCAGGCCTCGCAGCATTGAGGCCGGCCTCTGCCCCACCGGTATAAAGTACCGGTACAGCCTCACTTGGAG